TGAGCGCCACATGTCTCTCAATGTGTGGGCTATACATGTGGGTCTTATTCGGTTCACGAACGGTCCGCAAAGGCGCTGTTCGTGAAACGAAAGGAAATCAGCTATCTGCTTTCGGCAGATAGCCAATGCAAGTAATACAGTGTTAAGCAATCACAGTCTATACACACAGAAACATACGCATCCTCAAAACAGCACAGGCAACCCTTAAAGCTATAGTCCTTATATAATGTCCAAGTGGCTAGGTTTGCCACAGTTTTTAGCTTTGTTGTTGTGTCTTTACACAATATAGAAATGTATATGAAGCAATCACAATAACACTTTAAAAAAAAAAAATCAGGTTACACAAAAATTATCAATTCACACTATGACATCTGAAAAGCACATGAAAGAATGCTGTATGATTTTTTTTTTTGTGTAGTCATGAATGTAACCAGTAAAACTTTGTTGTTTACAGCCACTGGTTGGCCCATACATATTTTAAAACTTGTTTAATTCTGTTGCAGCATGACTTGTAGATATGAAGAGCAGGCCCCAAAATGTACTATTTAGCAGATTATCACCCACAAAATTAGAATTTTTACAAGTTCGCTGTAAGCACACTATTAGACATTTCTATTTGACTCTCAGATATGAAGTGCACCCCACTAAAATACTATTTAGCAGTTTAGCACCCCAAAAAAATTGTACGTTTTAAAACTGCAATGTGACAGCAGTATTTGACGCTTCTATTTGACTCTCACATATGAAGTGCACCTCGGGCCGCAAATGTACTATTTAACAGATTAGCACCCAGAAAATAAGAATGTTTACCACTGCGCTGTAAGCACCCTATTAGACGCTTCGATTTGACTCTCAGATATGAAGTGCTGTCAGCAAATGTACTATGAGGCAGATTAGCAGCAAAACAATTAGAATGTTTAGAACTGTGCTGTAACCGCAGTATTAGACGCTTCTATTTGACTCTCAGATATGAAGTGCACGCCCCAAAATGTACTGTTTAGCACAAAAACAATTAGAATGTTTACAATTGTGCTGTAACCGCAGTATTAGACGTTTCTATTTGACTCTAAGATATGAAGAGCAGGCCACAAAATGTACTATTTAGCAGATTAGCACACATCATCTTCCACCCACTCCTCGACCCTGCCCTCCTTGCCGGTGTGCACACTGCAGAATGCCACAGCAGTTGGCACCTGTGTTTTTCCAGCATGTAAAGTCTGCAAAGGACATATGGAAATAGTTTTAGAATTTCCTCCAGGCAACAGTTTTCCCTATAAACTGACCTCTCAGTTTGACTTGTGAGGGTATTGCCCAAAAATTACAATATTGTATATAGTACCTGTTAGCTATTGATCACTGGTTTGAATATAGCAGCTTGTTATTTGGTAGATTATAGTGTAGAAAATATCAATCTGTTTTTTCCATCACTTAGATCTGTATAACAAGTGTTATAGGTGTGAAACAATATTACAACTGACTGATTATAGTAAATTCAAATCAAAGTTACGCTTCGATTTGACTCTCAGATATGAAGTTAACACCCCAAATATACTATTTAGCCAAAAAAATGTACTTTTTTTAAAACTCCAATGTAAGTAGCAGATTAGCTGCAAAACAATTAGAATGTTTACAACTGCGTAGTAAGCGCACTATTTGACGCTTCTATTTGACTCTCAGATATGAAGAGCAGGCCACAAAATGTACTATTTAGCAGATTGGCACCCAGAAAATAAGAATGTTTACAACTGCGCAGTAAGCACACTATTAGACGCTTCTATTTGACTCTCAGATATGAAGTGCACCCCACTAAAATACTATTTAGCAGTTTAGGATCCAAAAAAAATTACTTTTTAAAACTGCAATGTGACAGCAGTATTTGAAGCTTCTATTTGACTCTTAGATATGAAGTGCACCGCACCCCACTAATGTAATAGTTTGCAGAATTCTTTCCTAAGCTGTCCCTATCAGCAGCAGCATCCTCTCCCTACACTAATAAGAGGTCATGTGCGTGCATCGCTACGCAACTCCTGCTTATATATAGAGGCCCGGGGTCCAAAAATGTAATGTTCGGTACGAACCCGAACTTTAGAGCTCTGGTTCGCTCAACTTTACTACAGACCTTACTCAAGAATGATCTGTATTGTAAACTAGAAAAGTGCCTATTCGATCAGAAGGAGGTACAGTTTCTTGGCTATACGATATCTGCCTCAGGATTCAAGATGGATCCCAAAAAACTAGAAATGGTGTTACAATGGCCTCTACCTCATACCTCTACCTCTTTTCTAAATTGGCCCATTTCGTCCCACTGAAAAAATTACCTTCCTCACAAGACCTTGCTCATATTTTCAATAAGGAAATCGTAAGATTACATTGGGCTCCATAAAACAGTTTCTGAAAGGGATTCACAGTTCATTTCTTGATTCTGGAAATCTTTTTGTAAAGAATTGGTTATCGAACTGTCCTTTCTTCATCTTCTCATCCATAAATCAACGGCAGCCGAAAGGGCAAATCAATCTCTCCGGAGGTTTTTCGAAGATTCTTCATTGACGATGTCCAGGATAATTGGTTTGAACTCTTGCACTGGGCAGAATTTGCCTGGAACAACGCTATACATGACTCTTCCAAGCTTAGTCCTTTTTATGTTGTATATGGTCTCCCTCCACACAGTTCGTATGACAGACGTCAGGTCCAGCGTTAGGAAGGACGACGGCTGCTGTAAGGCGGCACTCTATAATAGCACCACCTGCAAAGATGGCACTAGTGACGTGAACGTTGTGCGGCGTTACGGGGTCATGGAACCCAATTTAGCAAATAGCAGGTTTTACAGGGTTATTTAAACCCAAACCTGCAGCTGTTCAGTGCCCTGTCATGGTTTCCATCCTGTGTTGGTTATCTGAGAGCGCATTCCTGTTTACTGTTATTTGGTTTTTGATCTTGGCTTAGCTTGACTTTCCGTATTTCTGGTATCCCTGACCCTTTGGCTTTTTTCATACCATATTTGTTAATTTCTGTATGCCTGACCTCGGCTCATTACTGGTTATTCTTATACGATAAATCCAGCCATTGTAAGACCCAGTAATACATCATTACTGCTTTTTATTTGTCCGCATTTTACTTATTTCTTCGTGTTTGACCATTGGTTCGTCTGCCACATATTCTATACTCATACATTCTTCCAAAGCGTTGAATAGAGGCTTGGTAGGGAAATACAAGAATTAGATAACATCAAGAGGATATCATTGCCAAACAATTCTATTTTGTATTTACTGTCACTGCAGTCTTGATATATACAGAAAAGGTATAAGTCATAATTAATAATTACATATTAGGTAGATTAACACAGGTAAATAGTAACATTAGGTATTTGGTATAATTTTTAAATTATAGTATTAATTATTTCCTTATGTAGAATACAGACAGGTAATGAGACCTTTAGGCACAATTCATAATGATCCTTTTATTTGGCATATTCTTTACTGTCTACAACTTGTCAGCACTAGTTTGCTTATGTCAGTATTGATAGGGTGGTTATAAATTGTGACAGATACTTTGAATATATACTAAGGTATTATTGTTGCTGAATGTTTAGAACTACTAATCACATTTTTTATCTGTGAATGAATTCTAAGGTAAGATATTTCGTAAAAATTATTTCACATTTAATCAACAGTTATCTTTATCTACAATCTGCTGATTTTTTTTTTTTTTTTAATTTTCATGTTTTACATTACAACAACATTATAATGCAATAGTTTTGAGAATAACTTTTTTAATTGATTTAAAATAATGACCACGTTAGTACACTCCACATTATGATAAAATGTGTTGGCTTAAACTTTAGTGCAAAAGTATGTTGAGATACAACTAGGAGGTTTATTTAAATAGTTTGTTGATGACCAACTTGAAATATTTTGACTAAATTAAAGACTTAGAAGCAAATATTCAACTTGGCTGAGTTGGCTAATATAACCAGTTTGGTTATGTGTGCCTACAAGTCTGTTTGCAAATCAATGCAATTTACTATTTAGCAAATGCATTTTTAATGTTTTAAAACACTTTTTTTCTCCCAAATAATTTACATGCATTTTGTTTTCTTTAATCTAAATTTTCTATATGTATTTATTTTGTTTAACAGTCAGTCAAAGGCATGATTTGAGAAAGGAATAACAACATAAAGTGTTTTAGTGTTTGCAAATAAGTATTTTTATGTCTAATCGCAAGCAGCCATTTAAGCAAATCATACTTTGCTGGCTGACATTTGTTAGTTATATATTGGTGCATAATGCTATCTTTCTGTTGATTTACATTTCTACATTTGTTTAAATTGTATGAAAAAAAAGTTAACGTCCATTAAATATATATATTTCAAAATATGTATTTACACTGGAAACACATTAGCCAACCACTTATTTTTATGAGTAATTCATATTTAAATTAGTATATTTTGAAAATGTCACAAGATACTAAGTTTATATTCCTATACTTTTCCATTGCAAAACAAGTGTATATAAATCTGGAGCACTTTAAAAGCAATGCCATTATAAGCACAACAGACAGTCATCAGCAGCAAAGTCTTCTGTCTATAGCAATATGATTTTGCGCACACATGCATGATCTTTCAAGTCTATTTTACCTATCTCCTGGTACTTTTACTTTCTCATAATATGCACACAAATAATATCATTGATTGTGGAAATATTATCCATTTTGAATTACAATGTAATGTTTTTTAATTTAATATGTTCACATCCTGAAAAGGTTTTATATTTTTCAATTAAGTACAAATGTCTTTGCACAGTTTTGTTGTTTATATAAAAGCATACTTAAAATTGTTATTCTTTAAAGTATAAACTTCCGTATGTGTCAAGGTTTTCATTTAAAAATATATATATATATATTTGTACGCAATATTTATGTTCTATTTTTGCAATATTTTATATTTTTTTTATTAATTACAGCATTAAAATAGATATTTTCAAGAATTTTGTCCCACATTAAAAATGTTTTTCAAGAAAACACTCAATAGAAGAGAGCATGCTATTAAGTTAACATCCTCTGCAAATGTACTAGATCGCAAGAAAATTCACAGTGGAAAAGTTGTTGTTGTGACTGGATCTACATATGGGTAAGTCTAACATATATTTATAATTGGGGATTTTTTTTTTTTTTTTTTAAATTATGTGCATATATAGCAACAATCAAACTTTTGAATGCATCAGCGGTTCCCAAACTGTGTGCCACGCTGTATCTCACACACACACACACACACACACACACTACTTCACCTATCTCCACAACAGCCCCTATCCCAGCAGTTCTTAAACAGTTTGAATACTTATCCTGGGAGGGCACCACAGCACAACTGGTACCAAAACCACTACAGAGTGCTGTAGTAGTTATTGTGCCTGGATTGTTTCTTTAAATAATCTACCAGTGCCCCTCCTAAGCTTAGGTTCTGGGTCTGGAAAAATTTCTGCTGAACAGGGGCCCAGTATATGCCCCAGCACTGTACATATATTCAACCTGGAAATTTGTTTTGATTTGGGGTGCCTTGGGAATATAGTAAAATATTATGAGTGCCTTGATCCTAAAAAGTTTGGGAACCACTGGACTACATAATAGTATATAGTATAAAAGCTAATTGTAAAAAAGCTGCCTATTAAGATGCAACATGGAATTACATAACATCTTTTCAATTTTTAAACAGTAATGATGAGGGTAATGAAGGCAGTTTTAGAACATTCTATTATTTCATCAAAGTAGTGTGCAGTATCACTGAGAGTCACATGAGCCTCATCTTGTGGCATTAACATTGTTTTTCTTTTTGTTGTAACATGCAGAATCTACATTCTAAGTCTGCATTATTTTGCTATGCAGTACCAAATTATTATTATTATTATTATTATTATTACTATTACTATTATTATTTATATGGTGCTACCATACTCCACAGTGCTTTACAATTATATAAGGGGAATAATTTATACCAAGCAGTTGAAACACAAAATATTAAGAGACAAGAGGTAAAGCAGACATACTGCTCTGGAGAGGAAGTAGATCTCTATTGGAAGAAAGACGAGACAGGGGGATAGGATAGAAACATTGAAATACATAAAGACATAAAGGGAATCAACACAGTAAAGGAGGAGACTATATTTAAAAGACGAAAAACTACCACAACAAGAGGACATAGTCTTAAATTAGAGGGACAAAGGTTTAAAAATAATATCAGGAAGTATTACTTTACTGAGAGGGTAGTGGATGCATGGAATAGCCTTCCAGCTGAAGTGGTAGAGGTTACCACAGTAAAGGAGTTTAAGCATGCGTGGGATAGGCATAAGGCTATCCTAGACTTAAGATAGGGCCAAGGACTAATTAAAGTATTTCAGAATTGGGTAGACTAGATGGGCCGATGGATCTTATTTGCCATCACATTCTATGTTTTTATGTAAGTAGGCACTAGGAATGTGAATTACAGTTACTAGGTTGCTCACAGCTAGTGAAGGTAGATTTTATTTTAACCCAGGTCTAAAAATGCCAACTCACATATATTAGAGCTCTTGCCAGCCCTGGATAAAATAGCGTGTGGTATTCAGTCCCACCTTGTAGGATACCCCCCTGGGGCAGCGGCGGATCCAGGTGGGAGGGCAACGGGGAATATGCCCCCCCCCCCGAGATCCGATGCTCTATCCCGCAGAGCTGGTGCTATCCAAGTGCCGGCCCTGCTAAGTGCCTTCACGGACTGGAGGGGAGATCAAATATCTCCCTCCCCAGTCTGCAGGCACATTGCTGGGCGACCGGCAGGGAGGGAGGAGGGAGAGGAGACCAGGGAGCTCTTACCTCCAGCTGAGCTCCGCCGGGTCTCCTCTCGCGAGCACGGAGCTTTGCCGAGGTTATCGCGGCAACTCTCCGTTCTCGCGAGAGTGAACTCTAGCAGGCTAGAGTTCACTCCCCACTAGAACTACCAGGGATTCCACCGGACCACCAGGGATTGGAAATAATATCCCCCCTCCCAAGCAAACGTAAGAAGGGAGAGGGGATATAAATAATATAAAAGAATGTATTTTTAATTAAAAAAAATACATTTGTTTTGCTCTGCCCCCTCCAACTACACACACACTTCCCCCACAGCCCCCCACACAGACTTATCCTCCACACACACACACAGTGCTCCCCACACACACACTTCTCCCCCATACACACAGTGCTCCCCTTACAAATACTGCATCCCTACACACTTCCCCCAACACACATGCTGCACCCCCCCACACATCTCCCACACACAAACTCACCCCCATACACACAGTGCCCCACCATACAAACACTGCACCTCCACACACTACACCCCCATACACACAGTGCTCCTCCATACACACAGTGCTCCCCCAAACAAACATTGCACCCCATACAAACACTTCCCCAACTGCACTCCCATACACACACTGCCCCCACTACACCCTCATACACACACTGGGCCCATACACACACAGTGCTCCCACATCACCCCACATATACACACTGCACTCCCATGCACACACTACACCCCTCACATAAACACACGCTGCCTCCTACACACAGTGCTCCCACTGCACCCCCATACACACACTGTACCACATGCACTGCCTCCTGTACACACACACACACACTCTGCACCCCTCACACACTGCCTCACATACCCACCCTGCATCCCTCACACACTCAGTGCCTCCTATACACAAACACACACACACACATTACTAGAGGCCCTATCCCCTACTACATCCCCTATCGTGGCTGACCCCAGGTAAATTGTCAAACTGATATTGAGATAGAGAGATGATAAATAAATAATAATAATAAAAAAAATATATATATATATATATATATATTGTGATGCTTGCACTCCTGGATTAGAATATCAGTGCCTGGTGCTGGTCAGGCACAAAATACAGGAAAAAAATGAAAATGGCCGCACTCTAAGGACTTAGTATAGGTAATAATAAAATATAACTTAATTTATGACATAAAAAATATATTGGCATTTCAGCCCCAATACATGGGCTTTCCTCAGAATGGCAATAATAAATATATTATTATAATAATATAACTATATATATATATATATATATATATATATATATATATATATACACACATTTGATAGCATCAATTATGACAATTTGGTGCCAAAATGACATCGTCACGTGACTCTAGTTAGCAACACAAAACACTCACTAGACTAACTTTAAATATTGTTTATAGGTGCATAGTATTAATATAAACAGAGAAAAAGGATTTGGGGGTGTAGCTTGTGTGTCATTTAGTAAATAATGCACAGCATTATGGGAAATGTAGTCAAAATAAACTTTTTAGATCTTCATATTTAATTAAAGGACCACTATAGGCACCCAGACAACTGCAGCTTAATGAAGTGGTCTGGGTGCCTGGTCCAGCTAGGGTTAACCCTTTTTTTTTTTTTTTTATAAACATAGCAGTTTCAGAGAAACTGCTATGTTTAAACTGAGGGTTAATCCAGCCTCTAGTGGCTGTCTCTTTGACACCCGCTAGAGGTGCTTGCGTGCTTCTCACTGTGAAAATCACAGTGAGAAGATGCCAGCGTCCATAGGAAAGCATTGTAAATGCTTTCCTATGAACTGGCTGAATGCGTGCGCGGCTCCTGCCACGCATGCACATTCAGCCGATGACGTCACTAGAAAAGAGGAGGAAAGCTCCCCGCCCGGCGCTGGAGAAAGGTAAGATTTTAACCCCTTCCTCTCTCCAGAGCCCAGCGGGAAGGGTTGGGGCACCCTCAGGGCACTATAGTGCCAGGAAAACTAGTATGTTTTCCTGGCACTATAGTGGTCCTTTAAAGATGGAAACAAACCCGAGAACTTAAAAAAAAAAAAGTATTCTTGGAGTAAAGACGAGAGAAGGGGGAAATGATAGAAACCGTTAATTACATAAAGCTAATCAACACAGTATTGAAGGAGACTATATTTAAAAACTACCACAACAAGAGGTCATAGTATTAAATTAGAGAGTTAAAGGTTTAAAAATAATATCTGGAAATATTACTTTACAGAGAGAGTAGTCGACCCATGGAATAGCCTTGCAGCTGAAGTGGTAGAGGTCAACAAAGTGAGGTAGTTTAAGCATGTGTGGGAGAAGCATAAGGCTATCCTAGATGTAAGATAAGGCCAGTGACTGATGAATGCATTTTGAAAATTGATCAAACAGTTCTTATCTGCCGTCCCATTCTATGTTTCTATGTTCTATGTTTCAATGTACCAACACAGAGGGATATCCTGCAAGTGGGGATTGAATACCACTGCAAGCTATTTTATCCAGAGCTGGTTATAGCTCTAATATATGTGAGTTGTCATTTTTAGACCTTTATGTTGAATTTTTTAGATGGTTATTTCTTCTCCTGTACTTAATTTGTATTGTAATATTTGGTGCATCCTGGTCTTCTGGTCTGCTTTTACCAGTTGTTCTTAGGCGTAAAAAGGGAATTTTCTATTTTTCAGGAGTACTGCCTCCCTATTTTTTGTTCAGCTGTTCAGCGCTGTTCCACTTCCTTTTTTGTGTATTTTGTCTGCATATAAATTAAGCTGAGAGAATTGTCATATATTTTTCACATATTTTAATACAATATTTTACTTTTAAAATTGTATCATTTTTGCCTTTTTTTTTTGTTCTTACTACATTTATGGATCTATTCTGTAAACTTTTTCTCTACATGTTGAATAAATGCTATTAATTCATATTTTATTATTTATATATTATCTTATAATTGTGTGTATATATGTGTGTGTGTGTGTATGTATGTATGTATGTATATATATATATATATATATATATAATTTATGATAAATTATATTCTCTGGTTCTTTTGAAATATTGTATTTATGAATACGTCAAAATGTTACATTTTTATTGTTTGCAAAAATTAGGAAAATTATTTTACATTTTGAAGCAGCTGTGAATATTTTTTGTCTTTTTGTTTTCAGACATGTATGAAATAGTTAAAGGAAAACTGAAGGGATTTTCCATATACTTAGTTTCATCATCACAATATAAATCTATATATATATATATTTTTTTTTTTTTTAGAATTGGGCTAGCTATAGCACGCCGCTTTGCAGAGGATGGGGCACATGTGCTATTATCTAGTCGCCTTCAGAAGAATGTGGACGTAGCTGTAAAGCAACTTCAAGAGGAGGGCCTGAGTGTTACTGGAATAGTTTGCCATGTGGGTAATAGAGAAGACAGAGAAAGACTACTGACAAAGGTGACAAAAGATGAAGGAGACTAATATATTATAATATATGCTGTGTTTCTTTGGATGAAATTATGTCATAATAGTCTGATAACATAACAAGATCATAACATGTTTGGCACAAAGCTTAATCCAAAAAAATGAATGCTTATCAGCCATACAAACATACATTATTAACATAAAGAGGTTAATGCACATTATAACAAGGTAGAAATTCCACCCGGGTGCTTCAGTGAGGAAGGGCAAATTCACTAAATTCCACAGGTAAGTTTCACAGAAATCCAGGCACACATGGTGGTTTTCACCACTAAATAATATAAGTAAATAAATCAATAATATATGATTAAACTCACTGTTGTGACCACACTCCTGAGTGAAGCATCTTGTGTAATTTCATTCTAACTGTATTTTGAGATATATATATATATATATATATATATATATATATATATATCAAAATACAGTTAGAATACATATATCTCAAAATACAGTTAGAATGAAATTACACACGATGCTTCACTCGGGGGTGTATATATAATATGTATGTATATATGTGTGTATATATATATATAAACATATATGTATGTGCTATGCCTCACTGATGATTCCTAACAAGGCTGAAACAATCGTCTGGGGTTGCTGTGTCTCTCGTGCAGAGGGATTTCGGATCTGGGCTGCCCGTATGGGTGGGACCAGTCTGATATGTTTCAGAGATGTTCACTCTGTAATGGCACAAGATGAGCTAAAACCAGCTTTAGAACTGAGCAGGGACCCACCGAAGGGCAGGCTATTTCAGGCTGCTGCCTGTTCTCAGTATTCTCTTGCGCACCATTTTTTGCTCTAGATATGGAGTAGGTCACAAGTAGCGAACCTATCAGAGTAATATTAGTCGTAGTACCAAAAAGCGTACTTTTACTAGAGTAAAATAACAATTGAGATACCTACTAGTCTATGACTTGGCCTATGAACCGGTACTAAAGTAAAAGCGGTCGTTGAACTAGCAGGGGCCTGGCACTTAATAACATAGCAAAGTGAACGTATTAGGTTTTTAATTGATTGTGAGAGCCAGACCGTGGACCCAGATAACTATATAACCACTAACCAAAATGAACAGTAGAGTATCAGGAGTGCAGTAATTTCTGCTCAAATGCTGAAATACAATACATGATAATTCAGAATCCAGAGGCTAATCCATATACCCAGTACTAGCCTGTTACATATAGACCCACCTACTTGGAAGTGGATCACAGGAGAACTGAACAAGAATCCTGAATATAAAGTGTCTATAGGACCGTATAAAGAGTAATTTAACCACTGAGATGGCAAGAGAGCCAATGGCCTTTATTTATAATCATAAGCTTATCCCATTAAAGAGAAACCTCGCCTATGAGTCTCTAGACAAGTTGAGACCCGGACCACAGACTGATGAAAGAGCAATAATTTTGTAGTCTAAGCAACCTAAAAAACAGCATTGTCATAAGATACATGAAAAGACGTGGCATGTAAACAATCAAGCAATAAGCTTGATAAATCCAGTCAAACAAAACAAATGTGAGAACTTACATGAAGAGGAAACCTAATATAAACATGTGGAGCAAGACTAGTGTATGAACCGAATGTTACGTAACTAAAACATATTCAAAAACTAAGTGTACGAACAACTTAATTTAACATGTTCGTGAGTACTGTAGCCAAACAGGATTCGCACATGTGCATGCTCCTGAATGTTACCTAAACATATTTAATTTTTTATATAATGCCAACAAATTCCGCAGCGCTTTACAGTCAGTGGATGAACAAACATGTAGTTGTAACCAGACAAGTTGGACACACGGGAACAGAGGGGTTGAGGACCCTGATCAATGAGCTTACATGCTAGAGGGAGTGGGGTAAAGTTACACAAAAGGTAAGTATGGAATTAGACTAAAAATTGCAAGACAGGAATCAGACAGGACAGTGGAAACTGGGTGAGCATCTACTGGAGGAGGGAAGTGAGTTCCACAGGAATGGTGCCGCCCTCGAGAAGTCTTGAAGGCGAGCATCAGAGGTGGGAGTACAGACAGAAGATAGACGTAAGTCTTCAGCAGAGCGTAAGGGCCTAGATGGGACATACTTGTGTATTAGGGTGGATAGATACAGTTGCAAGAAAAAGTATGTGAACCTTTTGGAATTATATGGATTTCTGCACAAATTGGTCATAAAATGTGATCTGATCATCATCTAAGTCACAACAATAGACAATCACAGTCTGCTTAAACTAATAACACACAAAGAATGAAATGTTGCCATGTTTTTATTGAACACACCATGTAAACATTCACAGTGCAGGTGGAAAAAGTATGTGAACCCCTAGACTAATGACATCTCCAAGAGCTAATTGGAGTGAGATGTCAGCCAACTGGAGTCCAATCAATGAGATGAGATTGGAGGTGTTGGTTACAGCTGCCCTATAAAAAACACACACCAGTTCTGGGTTTGCTTTTCACAAGAAGCATTGCCTGATGTGAATGATGCATCGCACAAAAGAGCTCTCAGAAGACCTACAATTAAGAATTGTTGACTTGCATAAAGCTGGAAAGGGTTATAAAAGTCTCCAAAAGCCTTGCTCTTCATCAGTCCACGGTAAGACAAATTGTCTATAAATGGAGAAAGTTCAGCACTGCTGCTACTCTCCCTAGGAGTGGCCGTCCTGTAAAGATAACTGCAAGAACACAGCACAGACTGCTCAATGAGGTGAAGAAGAATCCTAGAGTGTCAGCTAACAACTTACAAAAGTCACTGGCAAATGCTAACATCAGTTTGCACAAGAGCACCTAGATGTTCCACAGCAGTACTGGCAAAATATTCTGTGGACAGATGAAACCAAAGTTGAGTTGTTTGGAAGAAACACACAACACTATGTGTGGTGAAAAAAGGCACAGCACACCAACATCAAAACCTCATCCCAGCTGTGAAGTATGGTGGTGGGGGGCATCATGGTTTGGGGCTGCTTTGCTGCGTCAGGGCCTGGATGGATTGCTATCATCGAAGGAAAAATGAATTCCCAAGTTTATCAAGACATTTTGCAGGAGACCTTAAGGCCATCTGTCTACCAGCTGAAGCTCAACAGAAGATGGGTGTTGCAACAGGACAATGACCCAAAGCATAGAAGTAAATCAACAACAGAATGGCTTAAACAGAAGAAAATATGCCTTCTGAAGTGGCCCAGTCAGAGTCCTGACCACAACCCGATTGAGATGCTGTGGCATGACCTCAAGAAAGCAATTCACACCAGACATCCCAAGAATATTGCTGAACTGAAACAGTTCTGTAAAGAGTAATGGTCAAAAATTACTTCTGACCGTTGTGCACATCTGATCTGCAACTACCGGAAACGTTTGGTTGAAGTTATTGCTGCCAAAGGAGGTTCAACCATTTATTAAATCCAAGGGTTCACATACTTTTTCCACCTGCACTGTGAATGTTTACATGGTGTGTTCAATAAAAACATGGCAACATTTAATTCTTTGTGTGTTATTAGTTTAAGCAGACTGTGATGATGATCAGATCACATTTTATGACCAATTTGTGCAGAAATCCATATCATTCCAAACAGTTCACATACTTTTTCTTGCAACTGTATATATACTTAGGTAATATTTTTACCTAATTAAGTAATTTTATTAATTACAATATGAAGGACCTGCCTTACAGCCCAGACAGAAAGTACAGATAATTTAGTTTGCAAACTTCTCATTCCTGGGCTACCATACGCTCTCAAATGCAACATAATACATCTGGCAAATTTCAATGTGTAAAAACTGAAACTGGCAAGCCTTTAAAACCTATAACTTTCCAACACACCAAAAAAATATGTCATGGGTGGTAATATTGCACTCATGAGGCATGATGAAAACAAAATGAGTGTTTCAGAGCAGTAAAATGTATAATGCTGATGATATCATCAGTAAGAAAGCAGCTTTTTGGTGAAAAATGCAAAAAACTAATATAAATTCTAAGTTTGGCCAGGGTGTGTGATAAAGTGGCTACTAAAAAATACTGGACATAAACCATTTACAATACCCTACGTTGTCTACTTTTGAAAATGGCATGCCATGAAGGGGTTCATTTTCATTCTTGGCTGCTATACGATCTCAAAAGAAACATTGCCAGTCTGGCAAATTTCAATATGTATAAACTTAAAGAAATGTGCTGGAGCGAAGCCTAACCTTGAGACAGAGTGGACGCCATATCCCACAGTTCTTGGGGGTAAAATGCATAAAAGTCTAAAATATCACAGGTCCCTGTACCTGCACGTTCAAATATCGAGTGATCGCAACCAGAGGGCACCTCACCACATCGCCATATGCTGTTTTTCCAGACCCAAGACAAAGCAGCAAAAGCGGAGATCTGAGGCATACTACACAACCTCAAACCTAGGCTGGAACGGCCTCAAACCAAACCTATCACCGCTTGGTGAGCTGTCTTTCCCCTACACGGTCACGCACTGGTGTGAGGCAGATGGAGTTATGGGGCTGCGATCCCAATGACCACAGCCAGAAGCTCAGCCAGGAACTAGGGATATCAGTGAACTGCTTCAAAGGCAGACCTTGACCAAAATGGTGGCACCAGAAGCCCAAGAGACCCTTACTGCACCCAACGTCCACACACACAGAATTCCTCTTGCGGTCCGAACTGTTACATGCTGAGCAGACCCCCATGGAGGTCCAAGATGGCAAAGCCCCTCCCACCAAGGAAGATATTCAAAACCTGTTGGTGTATATTAAGAAACATCTGGAAGGGTTGTCCGTGGGACAAAGTCATCCCTATTTCGTCTTATGTAATCTTGGATTGCATTGGAATTTCAATGAGATTCCAATTCAGTGGGCACTGGTATTTCATAAACAAAGACTATATATGTTTATGAAATAAAAAGAAGCAACAGATGCAAATTAAATAACAGCAGACATGGCACTTCTGAAGGCCGACGTGCAGGTGGTCAATGACAGAGTCAGGGCTTCTGAGGGAGACATTGCAGAGCTCAGACAAGAAGTGTC